CGGAAAGGACACATCCCACCTAAACAAAACAAATGGATCACAGTCAATATTATACATCAGTTTAAGGAGTAAAACATTGATTAGTTGTTGGCAAAATTTCTACACACTTTGTGCTAGAAATAGGACTACAGCTTTAATTCTTTATTATAGTGTGACCATACTTTTTATGAGTTAAAAGAGTTAAAAAAGGAATGTGTAATAGATTAGTTGTTTTTTATACTTTCTTTCATATTTCTGCACTAATCTGAACCTGGAAATATAGAAACCAAATACAGTTTTCCAAACTGCTGCCACCTGTTACCACAGAAAATGTACAGGTCTGATTGTGTTTGCTTGACTTTAAAGCAAAGCAGAAACCAAGTTTGGGCTAACTGTTTTATATATGTGAATAGTTTACTTTTAGAAAATATAAAAAGCAACACAGAAGAACAGTGATTGCGTCCTATATTTAGCAATACACTGAAACCCTGGTAGAGGATGTTTTTGATCACTCTTATGCTATAATACAAAACCCCCATAAGCAATAGTAAGAAATGCACTATGATTTAAGGACAAGCGATCTAAACCAATAAAGGGAACATTTTTTGTTTTAATTGCAAAAAAAGAACATAAATGGACTAAATAGAACATGAATAATTACAGACATATACAAGAACAAAGGGCTTAAAAGAACAGAACTATTATTTTAAAATGTCAAAATCAAATCTATGCTGGGCAGTTATAATTTCCATGGCTTTAGCATTTGAACTCATTTTTAATGATTCTATTTAGATAAATAAAAAAATCTGTTTTGACCAGTTCACATTTCTCCATCCCAAACAAACATCCCTATCTGTTAAAGTAATGTTAAGATTTTTTTGATGGAACTTGACATCTCTATCCAGAACATTTTGGTATAATTACAATCCCAAAAAAAAGATGAATAAGCTTTTCTTCATTATTTTTTTTTACAAAAAAAAGTTCACATTGGGTCCAAATCCCATGTATATCTTTTTATGAAAAATGCTTTAAGGGAACATGTTTTGAATAATAAGATATTTTCTCTGTGATACAATTTCGGAAGCTAAGCTGTTAACCCAGCACCTGTATTAACAGCGTTTTCTATTGGTTCTTTACCTTTCATACAAGCTCCTCTAACGAAGAACTCACACACAGCCGACCCAGACTCTATAAGCAGAAAAAAATGATACAATTAATAAAAAGTTGAAGAAAACGTGTCCATTCGCGGCGGTTTAGTTTCTGTTAGTTCCTCTGGTTCCCAGACAGCAGCTAGTAGCAGTTAGCACTTACTATCCATGCCAGGGAAAGGCAGCGGATGTGCCCCTAACTGTTGCTCCACAGCAAACTCCAAGTCAAACTTGATGTGGTCCACGTTGGCCAGTAACTCCTGCATGTCTGTGGTAGTTTGCAGCTCTCAAAGCGAAGACCTGAAAGGTTATTTCTCCTTTAAGCTAGCTGGAAGTCGAACCTGTTAGCTAGTAACTGACCAGCTTCTGGCAGCATAAAGGGTTAGCCAGGCTAACCGACGAGCAAGTAACAGCTGGAAACCATCGACGTTGCTGGTGTTTGTTCCTTCAATGTTTCAAAAACAAATTTCAAACACTACCATGGCTCATACCTATAGTAATTATTGTTTTATTTGTTAACGCGCTGCTTCTAGCTCCGTTTGAGGAGGCGCGCACCGGATCCAGACTGAAATAATCGATCCCCGAGCGATGAGCGGTTGCATACCTGAATAATCAGCAATATTTTCCTAACAAGTACTTGACAGTATAAGAAGCAAAAAAAAAATCAAAAATAAAAAAATAATATATATATATATATATATATATATATATATATATATATATATATATATATATATATATATATATATATATATATATATATATATATATATATGCATATATATATATATATATATATATATATATATATATATATATATATATATATATATATATATATATATATATATATATGCATATATATATATATATATATATATATATATATATATATGCATATATATATATATATATATATATATATATATGCATATATATATATATATATATATATATATATATATATATATATATATATATATGCATATATATATATATATATATATATATACATATATATATATATATATATATATATATATATATATATATATATATATATATATATATATATATATATATATATATATATATATATATATATATTTCATATTATTTTTGCCTGCCAATATTTCAAATGCCGCTTCTATGAAACTCATTCACATATTTTTCTTATCTCTTTGAAATAAATTTTTTTTATTATTAAAAACACTGAATGGTTGAAATGCATAAAAACAAACCTCAGAAAGAAAAAAAGAAAACAGAAAGAAGAAGGAAGGAAGGAAGGAAGAAAGAACGAACGAACGAAAGAAAGAAAGTAGTACAGTTCAGTTCAGTACAGAAAGTACAGTTACTTTACACCTCTGGGAAGGGCTATCAATAGTGACGTATGAACTTGAGGGATCAGCATTCATCTAAACTTCATACATATTTAATAAACATATTTTTATAGGGAAGGAAGGAAGGAAGGAAGGAAGAAAGGAAGGAAGGAAGGAAGGAAGGAAGGAAGGAAGGAAGGAAGGAAGGAAGGAAGGAAGGAAGGAAGGAAGGAAGGAAGGAAGGAAGGAAGGAAGGAAGGAAGGAAGGAAGGAAGGAAGGAAGGAAGGAAGGAAGGCAGGCCTCAAACCAAGGGTGTAACTTTGGGATTAAATTTGGTGGGGATGCTCTAAGGATAGCCGTTGATGGACCTACAGCTATTCAACCCCAACGCTTTAAATAGGGTTTATATTTTCCAAAAATGAGCCCAAACATATATTTATTGAATGGTTTCCTATTGTTGAGAACATAAGAGTACCACAATACACTAATATTTATAGTTATAGACAGATGCCTGCAGCTGATTACAGTGCATTATTTATAAAAGGCTCAAAAACATTAATGTATAAAAAAAAGGCGAATAACAGACGATACCGATGCCAACATCAATATATCATACATCCCTAGTATGGACACAACTTCACTTCCATCCATCAGTCGTTGCATGGCTTCCCTTTAAGCTGCATCAGTGATTATCCTCCTTCACAAGCAGCAAAATCTAATTTGGAAATTTGTCCCATTTGTCATTGACAGCCAAAGTCTATATATTGAACCTTATATTTCAAAAATCATTTATCCAGTGATTTTTATGATTTGTGCTTTAATTTGTGCTTGCAGGTTTCTTATATTTTAATTTTCAGTTGCATATCCTAGTAAATCTGTTTCACCTTTAAATCTGCAGCTGTGTGTAATTGTGCCTCTGCTCTGCTTAAAAACAGATTTATGAATCTGTCTACCAATATAATGATGCCAGAGAAAATCTTTTTCAGGATATATAGAAGCTCTGAAGTCTGATTCTCTGTTCAATAAGAAAACAACAGATATGTGTTCATTTTAATCTGTAACTCTGAGTAATGGTCCTCTATGAAGCCCAGCTTTGTTAACTTGTATAAATGTAGAATCTATTGCAATTTTTAGCTGAAAAAGCTCAGCATGTGTAACGAACCGATCTCTAATTTTTTTAACGAACCAGTCTCCTAACTTTTACTGAAACATATATTGAAGTAGCTCCTGGTTAATAATCTGAGTGCTGCTGTGTCTCTCCTCCTCCATGTAGCTACACTGTACGCAGTGAATCGTGACCCCAAATAATATTATGTCCCAAAGCGACAGATCCCATGATATTTAACTGAGAGGTGGGATTTGAGAGCAGTGGGAGAGAGCGAGTTAAAAACAACAAAAAAACGCTCTGAACACAGTTAGCTGCACCCAACCCCAGTTACCTTTGGCTGAAGTAAATCAGCGGAAACGGGGGAAAAGCAGAAATTATTGGTGGGAACTCTCCCCTCCATGCCAAAGTTGTAAGGAGCATGTCCACACCAGTCCTTCAGAAAGTTACGCCAGTGCCTGAAACCTATGAAAACCATCTTCTGTGTTCTTGTATAAATGCAACGCAGTCTCCATAGACAGGCCTTATGTCAAAATATTTTTAAAAGTTGATAAAAAAAGAAGACAACACTTTGTTAACGCATATATGGATGTTTGCATGAATGTAATCCAATGGATGATTTATGTAGAATATGTTAAATTATGCTGAGAATGAAAACCACTTTCAAACTCATACCTTGTCGTTGATCTTTAGTTATTTAGAATATTGGGCTATTCATCCCATTTCGTGCTATGATAAGACAAACAGAAATCTCTTAAAGTAAACTGTCTTAATTTTTTGAGTCAAGATTGCTTATTTAAACTTCTGTTGAATGGTGTGGTTCACGTTAAAATGTATTGCTATTCTACATAAAATGCAATCCTTTTGAAACAGAAGTTATACCTCCTTATATATTCCTCTGATCTTAAAGTTAAATGAAAAATAAATATTTAAAAAAATATATTTATGCTCAAGTTTTCATATAAAAAATGAACGTTTTTGCATTCATTATCATTTACTCTAAATTCACAATGTTCATTTATGAAATGTACAGAAAATCTGTTTTATAAGGCCTCATAAAAGTCAAACTAATACATCTGAAGTGTCTCACATTAATATTAGCATAATTTCTTAGAATGACTACTTTCTATATCTAAATCTATATAAAATGAAGTGAAAAACACAGTTGCTATGACAACGATGTAAAAAAAAAATCTAAAAATAAGTTAAAATGTCTCAAAATAAGTGTGTTTGCTCTTAATCTGAGCAGGTAAATAAGACAATTAGCCAATAGATTTAGTATTTTGGCCCTTAAAATAAGACAATTAGATAATATGCACTTTGAATAAGGGAGTGCAGTTGTTTTTTCTTATTTTAGATGTAAAGTGTCTTATTTCATTGGGAAAGTGTTTCAGTTACCTGCGCAATTCAAGAAAAAAATGCACTAATTTAAGAAAAAATAGACTTACTCAGATTAAATTTTTTTTACTTTACAGAATAAATCAAATATCAACAATGAACAATCATGTTGCTCCTTGTTCTACCAGTTATGGCTCTGATCCCCGTTTGGGCCTGTCGACCCTTATTGATTATATGATAGATTCCTGATCAATCAGAAAGGAATCCAACTGACCTCCTTTCTATTGAAGATTATATTGTGTTACCCGGTTACCTAAAGTACACTAAGAGTCGATTATTAATTTAAATCATTAGTAAAAGTCACCCTGGTTGCTATGAATTTAAAAAATGGCTCAGGATTCAAATAAAAATGTCATGAAACAACATATCAATGTAACAATTGATGAAGCAGGATAACAAACTGTCTCCAATTTGGCTCTGCATTTCCCAAACTCAGTTTCTTTTCTACACATTGCATAAAAACCAAAGCTCTAAAATGGTGCCAAATGACAAAGGGAAGAGCTAGCCGCCACCTGTTTTAAATACATCAGCAAGTATTTCTATTGGAGCCGTAAAGCAGTGTTGACTCTCTACAGCTCAGGAAGGCCAGGCATGGGGAACTGCCGAGCGAAAGCCTCCACTTCAGCCCTGATCTCAGCCACCTGCTGCTGGAACTTCTCCCCCCGAGCCAACGCCTGGAGGAACTCCTTCAGGGTGGCTTTTGAGTCCAAACTTCTCTGAACCTCCAAATTTAGCTCTATACCTGCAAAGGAAAGCACAGATTTTTTCTCTTGCTGAGATAAAATATGTATTCTGGTGACTAATGCATATATTTTCACAGCTTACCTCTATGAATGAATTCAGCCACTTTCTTGAAGTCTTCCTCTATCAAACCTCTGGAAGTCAGAGCTGGAGTCCCAAACCTTAGACCATTTGGAAGCGAATCACTCTTAGCACCTGTTGAAAAAAATATGCTTAATGTATACAAGGGAGCACTTTTTGAAATCTAATCTTAAAATGATATGTTTAGGGGGGCAAAAAGCAGATGCCTCCCTACAGTAAACAAGGGTGAAGGGAAGGTCATGAGAGATCATGAGTTCATACAGCCTCCTTCATGCCGTGGCTAAAATGTATGTCCTTGATGAACTGAAGGGTTTTTCTTGGTAATTACCAGATGTTCAAGTGTGAGAGAGATCTTTGTGCAGGGGGTTGGTTTAGTTTCATGGGAGAGAGAAAGTGTTGGAGTGTTTTGGATGATTAAGACAGAGAGAGCTCTATCTCCCTCTCCGTCCAAAGGACGATTAATAAAATTGAATCATCTTGCAAGAAAAAAGCTTCCGACTCAGATTCCTAACTTCACAGTGTGTTACAACATTGAATAGGCTTTAGAGATGATTTTCAGGCAACTCTGATTCAGAAGATAAAGTGGGGAGGAATACATCCTAGAGCGAGGTCTTCAACAGGGGGTCCGCAACCTCTAGGGGGTCCAAGGAGCTACTGCACGGGGGTCGCAAAAGGTGATTAGACTATTTTTTATATTCCCCCTGTAATTTTTTCCACTAATTGAAATGTCTTTAAATCCACATTAACATGAATTGAAAACACTGTAGTAAACAGATAAATGGAGGCAGAAGATGTCTTTTAGTCATTAATGCACACATTCAGTGACACCCAGGAGCTTTAAGCTGGGCACCGTTTCATTCACAACACCTGTCCCATCAACCAGGAATCAGAATCAGAAATACTTTAATAATCCAGTGCCAAATTACTTTTGTTATGTAATATACTCTATTACATTTGTAACATTAGTAATTTTCAAACTGGTCCTATAGTCACTATTAAATAGAGTGACTATAGGACCAGTTTGATATAACACAATTTTATACAATATATATAAAACTATGGGGTCCTTGGCCTGGAAAACGTTGAAGACCCCTGACCTAGAGCACAATAAATCATCTTCAGAATAAAACCCTGAAACTTTCCTTTCAAAAAATGATAAAATAACATGGTCCTCAGCTGCATATGACCAACACGGCAGGCATTCAGAACAAAACATCATAAAGATGACCCCAGGACCCACAAGGTATGCTGTTTCTCATACACATGATATTGTCCTTACATCAGGGGTCACCAACCTTTTTAATGCTGAGGACTATTTCATGGGTACTGAGTCATAGGAAGGGCTACCAAGAGTGACCTATAGCCGTGAGGGATCAGCATTCATCTACCGTATTTTCACGACCATAAGGCGCACCGTACTAAAAGGCGCACTCTCAGTTATGTGTCCCATTTCTGTATTTAACACACACATAAGGCGCACCGGACTATAGGGCCCGTTTTTTATATACAGGTACATGTCCTCTACTACCTTTAAATACCTCTACTGCGTATTTAAAAATACAGCGGGGGCAAAACTGAGTATGATTGTGCTTTATTCATGTATTTATTACAAAGTATTAATCAAACCTGGGTGCTGGCCGTGAGACAGACACATCGCAGATGACAGAGCGCTGTGATCACTCCTAAATTAACTTAAAATCCTGAAACCTGCAGACGGAATATGTTCGCTTTTATGGGTGCCTGCAGTTTAAATTATTTAGATGAAAAACACCTGCCAGCCACCGCGTGAACCCGGAGGCTGCCCGGCCTAGAGGCTGCTGATGAAAGGATTTCTCCTGTCGGCGCACCGCTGGTTTGTGGGGGTCTGAGCGCGTCTGACAGAAATAGATAATCTGGATGAACTGACTGCAATTATTAAGTTTTCAGGTGGACTTTCTCACTTAAAAACATAATAAAACTACTTAATTCCCACTGATCACAGCAAATATAGCTGCAAGATTTAGATTATTTAGATGAAAAACACCTGCCAGCCACCGCGCTGAAGAGGAGGAGACGCGCTCAGAGGCTGCTGTTGAATTAAGTTTTCAGGTAGAAAAATAGAGCGGGAGCAAAACTGAGTATGATTGTGCTTTATTCATGTATTTATTACAAAGTATTAATCAAACCCATCAAAGTCATCATCCTCTGTTTCTGAATAAAACAGCTGCGCTAAATCAGACATGCCAATTTCCCCTTCTTCACTGTCAGTCACTTTCCGTGCAGCGCAGCTCCTCAGAAATAATGCCGGCTTTTGCAAAAGCTTGAAGAACAGAGCCAGCAGACACTTTAGTCCAAGCATCAACAATCCATCCGCAAACTGTGGCGTAACTTGCCCGGCGCTGCCTTCCACTTATCCTGAAACTGTGGTCTCAGTCTGTCATCCATCGCTCCCACGCCGCTCGCAGCCTTACTTTGAACGGCCGCTTCACACCGATGTCGAGCGGTTGAAGTTCCTTTGTCAGACCCCCGGGATAACGGCGAGCACATCGTTCATTTGATTCACCTTTTTTTTCACATCGGCTGTGAGATGGGCACGCAGCGATGGTGATGCGTGGAAAAAACCACCTGGTCTCCTCACATAGCCTACACTTCCCTCAGCTACGCTTTCATCATCTCCTCATCCATCCAGCCTTTTCCATTTGCGTTAATATCATATGTCATCAGAGCGCTGTGTCTGTCTCGCTGTCAGCTCCCAGATCAGCTTCTCTGATTGGTTGATGCGGCGCGTCCAGCAGCAAAACTTCAATTTTTCCATCTCGAGCAGCAGCAGCGCGTTGGCAGATGCTTAAACGCTCCTGCTGCTCAAAACGCGCTGCGGGACCTTTTGCTGCACCTATACGCGCGTCAACCATTGACTTTGCATGTAAACTCGCTGCTTCTGCTGCACCTGCTGGGTCCGGTTCACACCGATGTCGAGCGGTTGAACAGCGAGCACAGGGTTAATTTGTTTCCCCATGTTTTTCACATCAGCTGTGAGATGGGCACGCATGGAGTTACATATTAACAGCGATGGTGATGAGTGGAAAAAAAAAACACCTGGTCTCCTTACATTCAGCCACTCTTTCATCATCTCCTCAATGAGGTGGTCTCAAAAGTCGCAGTTACAACACACATAGGGCGCACCGCACCATAGGGCGCACTGCACATTTTGAGGGGAAAAAAAGACGTTTAAGTGCGCCTTATAGTCGTGAAAATACGGTAAACTTCATACATAATAGACATATTTTTACAGAGAGCAAGGAAGGAAGGAAGGAAGGAAGGAAGGAAGGAAGGAAGGATCAGCATTCACCTTAACTTCATATATAATCAAGATAATTTTATTGTTTTTTTAACTCCTAAATAATTTTATGATATAGTCATTTTGAAATCTCTATAAATGCTTGAATAGTCTGTGTGTTTAAAATAATGAAATGTTCCATAAATGATTCAAAACGGGAACCAGAATAAAATAAGAATTTCGATCTTAGACGACTGGTGAGTTGTGCTGTTTTCAGAAGATGTTGTTTGCACCCCATGAGGCCACAGAGGGCCCTTGGTGTCCACAGGCACCACGTTGGTGACCCTTGCTCTACATTCTACCTTTTTATCAGAACAGTAATAAAATAAATAATCATGAGGATGACAAATCTGGAGGGTTTTCACAAATATGGAGACAGCTGGAAAAAGATGGATGAGATTGACGTGCAGGCCTACTCAGCACTGCTCAGCAGGCGTATATCATATTTTTATAAAAGTGATTTTCCCTATGGATTTCTAGACTGTTTTCTGTGACATTGATGCTTCTGTTTGCATATGCCCAGCAAGTTAGAAAAATAAAGGATCAAGACACGGGTGGCTCGCGATGCTAAATCAAGCTATGCTTGGAAAATGCTACTGGGAAGCCAACCAGTGGATGCCCAAAGAAGAACCAGGGGATGCGAGTTGTGCTTGATGTGAAAGAGGGACTGAGGGGTCACAATGTGACAATTTCTTCACCTCTTATGAATTCAGACAGGAGCTCCTGAAGAGGAAGATCACCATGGTTGGTACAGTTTGAAAGAACGAGCCTGAACTCCCACCAGCACTGCTTGCTTCAAAGGAGAGAGATGTCTTCTCCTCCAAGTTTCCTTCACGCCCATCATCACTCTAATTTCCTTGGACTAGTTTCTAGGTCCTTGCAATATAGAATCCATTTTGAGCCCTTCCAATGTCCACTTTAAACTTCCATCTGTATTAACCAAATTCTCCATGTTTCCCTAATTAAACCTGTACTTTACAGCCACTGTAAACTATTCTATATATTACCAGTATACCTAAACAGTTGCTCTTGTTGCAAGAAATAGCGCAGGCTTGCAAGACTTTCTCAGCTTGTCCTCCATCAGTTCCTTTATTGCGAAGGTCCAGCAGAATTAGATGGTTGTCAGAACCACCTGTACAGGAAGCAACAGAGAACATAAAGAGATAAAGCAGACACATGCTTCAGCCACCAACTCATCTAACAGAAATTACTCACAATAATAGCATTGTTAATAGCACTGTGTAAACCAGAGGTACCCAAGTCCTGTCCTCAATAGCTACTGTCATACAAGCTTTAGTTGCTTCCCTTCTGCAACATGCCTGAATCAATTAATTTCTTGTTACCAAGCCTGTGCAGACCTGAGGGACATCCTAATTAGGGAATTCAGACATTCGATTTGGATGCATAGATGAAGGGAAACATCTAAAAGTGAAAGGAAAAAACCTCTAGAAGATTGGAGAACTTTTGTAAAACCCTTTCTTTCATATTTTTTCATTGAGCCTGATATATGTTACATGTGTGACACCTACCAGTGACGATCTGGTAACCGAGGTCAATAAGGGCGCTGCTTAGAGCTTGACAGTTGGCAAGAACCTGCTGCTGGTAAGCCTTAAACTCTGGGGTCATTGCTTGATTGAGAGCCACAGCAACACCTGCCAAGAACAATAACTCAGTGACAATGATGTGGGCATAGATCTGAAGATCCCAAGATGAATACCACATTTATTATAGTAATGGTACCTGCAATAGCATTGTTATGAGGTCCTCCTTGAAGCCCCGGAAAGACGGCCTGGTTGATCAAAAACTCCAGGTTGTACAGAGTCTCCTTTCCTTTGGAGTCCACGCTCCGTGTACCTTATAGAGAAAAGGGAGAGACCATTAGGAAACCAGAATAAAGCTTTCAGAGGGAGCATAGTCAGAGAGGTACCATGGCAGTTATATGTGTGCATTAGATATACTAGAAAAGTTTCATTGTTTATTCCTACCTTTCCGATAAAAGATAAGTCCACCACGGCAGCCTCTTAAACTTTTGTGAGTTGTAGTTGTAACAAGGTCACAGTGTTCAAAGGGTGAGGGCACCACTCCAGCAGCCACTAATCCTCCAATATGAGCCATGTCCCCCATCAGATATGCACCATTCTCATCAGCAATCTGCCTCAGGCAGGCGTAGTCTAGGTTTCTGGAATAGCAAGTTGTTCCTTATAATATGGAACAAAAAAAAATTGTTATTTCCATTTATTAGCATGACAGCGGGTTTAAACTTTGCATATGAACAGCAAAGAACCTGCAATAATGAGATGGGGGTGGAAAAGTTGTGCATTTTCTTGTAGCTTGTCATAATCAATGTAGCCAGTTTCTGGATTCACCTAAAAGACAATTAAAGAAACCCTCCAGCTTTGGACACATGAATTATGTGCTTATTATTTGGATATCATGAACATATAACTGGTAATTCCTCAAACAACAATATAGTTTCCAATGGTCTTTGTGTGTTATTTCAGTGCTGGAAAATCTAACTTTTATATATACAGACACGCATATAAGTCTTTTTCCTTATTTAGCAAAGTAGATACAGCTATGGTAGATAATTGTAGCCATACTGACACGCACAGATTGTGTCATTAGAGAAGTTAATTATTGGTCTCTTCAAATTTTCGTGCTGTATGGTTTAATCTTTACATTTATTAATTGGTTGTCATTTCTCTCTATTACTCTTACTGTAAACGATTTCCAGTTTTATATACACTATGGTTCAAAAGTTTGGGGTCACATTGAAATGTCCTTTTTGAAGGAAAAGCACTGTACTTTTCAATGAAGATAACTTTAAACTAGTCTTAACTTTAAAGAAACACATTCTATACATTGCTAATTTGGTAAATGACTATTCTAGCTGCAAATGTCTGGTTTTTGGTGCAATATCTACATAGGTGTATAGAAGCCCATTTCTAGCAAATATCACTCCAGTGTTCTAATGGTACAATGTGTTTGCTCATTGGCTCAGAAGGCTAATTGATGATTAGAAAACCCTTGTGCAATCATGTTCACACATCTGAAAACAGTTTAGCTCGTTACAGAAGCTACAAAACTGACCTTCCTTGGAGCAGATTGAGTTTCTCGAGCATCGTATTTGTGGGGTCAATTAAACGCTCAAAATGGCCAGAAAAAGAGAACTTTCATCTGAAACTCGACACTATACTTGTTCTTAGAAATGAAGGCTATTCCATGCGAGATATTGCTAAGAAATTTAAGATTTCCTACAATGGTGTGTACTACTCCCTTCAGAGGACAGCACAAACAGGCTCTAACCAGAGTAGAAAAAGACGTGGGAGGCCGCGTTGCACAACTGAGCAAGAATATAAGTGATGCAAATGGAGGATTCTTTGATGAAAGCAAAGTCTGATGTCAAAAAAATCTTATTTTAAATACAAATAATTATTTCTAACCTTGTCAATGTCTTGCATAACTTTAAAGTTATGCAACATCCTGTAAGCTGACTGACAGTGTTAGAATGAAAAGTGACAAACGTTAAACAATATTTTGTAGGCAACATTACTATCGTAAATCTGAACCTAATGAGTAAAATAAAGACAAATATAAAAAAATTGACTTTCCACTGTTTCAACTCACTGCAAACTCTGCAGCTTACTTATATAAAGTATTCCAGTCAGTAAATAGGAAATGGGAGTTCACATCAGACTACTATGGTTGTCACAAATGGAGATACTATTCTCTCTTCCTAAATTTTCTCAACATTTTAGTGTTTTTTTTTTTTCCTTTGTGGTCACATTTAACACTGGCTAATTCTGAGCATACTGAGTTTACCAAATAACACTTTTTACTACCTGGGTAGAGTGCTAGTTGGTTAGGTCCTCAAGCTATTGCTCCTAGAGATAATTTCTTGAGATTGCTTTGTTATCGGTGGACACATGACTATACCTCTTATACTGAAATTTTATTCTCAATAAAACACCAGTAGACCTACTATATTTGTGTCTCTATTTTACTACCAGATGACAATCTCACTCTTTATTGGTACACACATCTTAGTCTCCGTCTAAAGACCTCCTTTATTTATCACCAGCACAGTCAATGCATTGAGAATTAGGTGTGTTTTGGGACTTGATGGTAACACCATAATGCTGTTACAGACTTGGACTGATTTTAGTTTGGATGGATTCTGGTCAAAGCTTTTCAGGAGGCACTTTCTAAACTAAGGAAAATCTAACTGCATGTTGGGTACTTGGAGTACTTTTTCCTGGGTATCTAATTGACCATAGTTCAAAAAACTAAATCAAACCTTGTATGGCATAGTTTCAAAAAACATGGATGTTGCAGAGATTTTCTTCTCATTCCTCATGTAGCCATGCGATAGGTGACCCCCATCAGGAACGTCCAAGCCCATGATCCTACCATGAGGCCCAACAACAGCCGTGTAGACAGCAAAGTTAGCAGGTGAACCTTAGGTGGAAACATGGTTGAATTTAAACAAGTATAAAAAAGTTGACAGAGGCGTGTTTATGAGGGTTTTTTACCTGAGTATGGCCGCACGTTCACCCCCCATTTCTGAGAGTCTAAACCAAAGGTCTCCAGCGCCCTCCTCTGACAAAGAGTCTCCAGTTCATCATTATACTCTAAACCACCATAGTAGTAGCTGAGCATACGAATTACACCATTATTTATCACACAATATTCATTTAAAATAGCCTCTAGGTTTTAATCAAGACTAGGATAACTTGAACAGGAAATATACCTCTGACCAGGAAAACCTTTGGAGTACTTGTTGGTCAAACAGGAGCTGATCGCCTCGAGAACAGCTCTGCTGGTAAAGTTCTCAGAAGCTATTAGTTCCAGACCATATATTTGCTTGTGCTTCTCCTTTTTTATGATAGAAAACACCTGAAACACAACCACTGTCAAATACAGGGACGATGACAATATTCCAAATCATCAGCAGCAGTTTTTAGCAAAATAAGAAAGATACATAAATTCTGCTTAAAAACAAACCTCTGTATCGCTGTGAGCCAGAGGTGCCATCATCATTTTCTTGTGTGACTCTTGCCGTTCTTTACTCATAGTGCAGCCATTTGATTGAGACATAGTTGGTATTTTTCTGGTCACATACACTAGAGCTCTAAAAAATAAGTGCATTTTGATCTGTTTAATAAAACAAATGTTAGAAAAATGTATATATTATCATTTTATTTCAAGTTACAGGTACCTGGCCCATTAATGTTAAGTGTTGTTCTAAATGAGGAGAGGAAATACCTCTCTCAGGGACTGGTATTATCAATCTATGCAGCCGTAGGTGACTGATAACTTCTGACCCTTCCTGATAACATGGGAACCCTCCTGGTAACACTTTACCACTCCTGTTATTCAGTCCAATAATAAAATCAACAGAAAAGAGAGGTTCTGGCAGAGCTGAGTACAGACTTTTCAAGGGGTCTCATCCTCGGTCTCTTTTCTGCAGAAAAGAATACTTGCTTTGTTTGGTTTTTATTTCTAGGACAATAAGACATGGAAATCCTACAATACTTCTGTTAAACCACCACCTGAGCCATCTAAAGACAGCAATACAAGATCAAAGACTGGGCCCTTCCTGCATGTTGGATCTTAACTGCTAAAAAGTAGGTTGATTTAAATAGTATATATATATTTTTTTTTAGGCTCTAGTGGCCTTTATTTTATTGTTATTTTGAAAGTAGACAGACAGGAAATGGGTAGTGGGTTTTGTGCCAATACCGCACCCAGAGGTGTGGACTGTGACTCACTGATCTAATGACTGGGGATTTAACTCTTCCTTAACATCATTACCTTTTGATTCCTTATTATTTATGCTTTCATTAAACTTACAGGAATACCTAAATCAATAATAATAAAAATGAAGTATGGATCCATATTGTTTGATTCCTTTGTATTAGAATTTATCATCTTGTAGTAACTTGATATTTAAAAAATAGGACTTGAACTGGACTTGTTAATCTTGACTTCTGATCCGACTTAAAATTCTGGCTTTTTAAATGATGACTTGATTCCCACAGCTGGATCTCTTGTCAGGGATTCTGTAATGCTTTTTTTATTTCATCTTCATCAATAATCAACTCAGCATTAAGACATTTTTAATGTCTGCATTTTTACATTGGGCTGCTCAGTGGTGCAGCGGGTAGCATTACTGCCTTGCAGCAAGAAGGTTCTAGGTTCAATTCCCAGCCAGGGGAATTTCTGCATGAAGATGGCATGTTCTCTCTGGGTACTCTGGCTTCCTCCCACAGTCCCAAAACATGATGTTAGGTTAATTTGCTTGTCTAAATTCTCCTTAGGTGTGTGTTAATAGTTGTTTGTCTCTGTGTTGCCCTGTGGTAGACTGGCGACCTGTGGCACCAGCTCCTCGCTTGAAATAAACTTTGCAGAAAATGGATGGATATTTATATTTTTGTATGTTGCAAAGCTGTGGCTGTCATTCAAGTATTATTTATTTAGTAAAGCTCTTATTTATAGTTATATAAACTACAAGTAAACCATATCAGATTGTTTTTATCAAACAGTTTCTAGTTTCCTTTATTTCTACCTTTCAAGTCATCAAATAATCATGTTAAAAGTTGTGGAACAAGTTTGATGCCTCAACTTAATAGGTAGTAATTTCCTGATCCTCTGCTTGAACAGCTCAGCGAAAAAAGGTCTTCCTACTAGAAATTTGAGAAGAACATGAAATGCATTCCCCAGCCCTACCACCAAAAAAAGAACACAGAACACATATTTAGAAAATACTACTCTATTACTTTACTTTCATCTGTATTTGGATAACTTGTATGATATTAAAACTTCTTCTGGTTTGCTTTTTAGTGGCAGTTGTTTACACAAAGTAGCTTTTAGAAACAACTTTTAGGATTAAAGTTACGACCCATGAAAGTCATGAATTTTGCTAACATCTTTTGAAAGTTTGTAATGAGTTCAGGAAGCTGTTCAGGTACGTTTTTTTTTTCTTCTTCTTCTTTTCATCGGTTTCTTGGAAAGCAACCGATGAAAAGAATGTTTAACTTAACTGATGTGTAATGAAAAAGTCTAAAACGGAATATAAACCAAATTTGTTTTACTCCAGTGTGAAGCTCACCGAGATCCCATTTATTGCAAAGATCAGCAAACAATGCAAACAAATTATCATTATAATGATTAAACTTGAAGTTTCATTAATTTCCTTACCTGCTGACGAGATGAAGATCTGGGAACAGTCCTCTCAGCTTAAAAAAAAAGAAAAAGCCTGTTCTTTCATAACACCCTGCTCCACTTGTTTTTGTGTGACTTCAAAGAGCAGAAACCTTCCCCTTTGCCAGGCTGTTACCTGTTTCCTGGGAGGTTGGCATGTCAGCAGGTAACAACCAGGGACTTCTTTGAATCTTTAAGGTTGGGTAGGCACAGGGGTGGACTTACTGTACAGGTAAAGTAAGCAGCCCGCAGGGGTCCTGTTTGATGCCCACCCTCATGCGATATTTATGCATGTTTAAAATTAAATAATTGCAATCTAACATAATAAAAACAACAACAACACAATGACACAATACACATTAAACTAACAAAATGGTATCTGGGCACACGTTACACCACGACTGAGCAACATGTGTGCACACGCTGGGACGTCCTGCCACTATGTCTGCCCTTTAATGGCCAGGAAGGCGGTCCAGTCCAGGGATGTCGGCCCGCCTCTTTTATAATACAAAAAAAATAAATACATTGCAAGAGGAAAACATGGCTGATTTCTCAGAAGTGACTGAGACAGGTGCGTCTTTTACACACAGGGACAAGAAGAAGTGGACCAACCCAGACTGAACATAGTGATCATACCTGAATACTGACTGAAAACCAGAAAATTGCAAGTTACAACTTATTACCTATTTACCCAGCATGACGTGAGGTGGAGGTTTCTGGGACAATTTATTCCTAAAGTACATAAATACATTAAAAGAACCATTTGGCTGGAGTCAGTCAAAGACAAAACTAATGTTGCTCAATAAATTGGAGCCATATTTCCTATACATTCAGCCCTGGGTTATTAAAGGTACAGTATTTTTTATTATTATTTTTTTTCTGAAAAATATATTTAATATATCAAATTTTATCAACTAAACAAAGATACAGTTTTACTCAGAGTATTATATATTTTAATGTTTATATTTCTTTATACATGAAATATTAGTAACAATAAAACAAGGTTCTATGTTTTATATATGATGGCAATAGTTCAAGCTTTTTTCTTTACAGAAAGCATTTTGTAGTAGATGATTTACTAGCAGCTCAGTGCAAACTAACAGACTGTTCTGTTTCACAGAAAAACAACAGAACGAATTTATGAAAGAACATTTTCATATGATCAGTGTTAGTCAAATGCTTAGAAAGCGGTCATCTAAGATAATACAATGGCACTTTGTGCAACCATAGGAATAATATATATGGTTCTGTATGACAGATGGAAATACATCAACAACCATGTCTGGTGAGGCAGATCCTACAATAATTTGATCTGTTTTGAATTTTATTGTTTTTTTTATATATATTTTTTTGTGTTTGTTAAATTCAACTTTTCTTTGGTTTTAAAGTCAGATATTAATAATTGGATGTTGGTTAAAATGCTTAGGGATTTGCCATGTTTGGTGTTTCAAACTGAAGGGGTTTCTTGAACAAAATCAGCAGAAACAACAAAACTCAACATTAACATCATGTGTTTGAATGCAGTTTCTAATCATCTATGAGCATTTATAAATACAAAAAAAATAAATTCATTTTATCTCAGCTAAAACAAATAGCTCCAGGGGAAAGCTTACATTCACAGAAATGCAATGAAGTCATCCTGAAAACTTCTTCTCTTTAACGATCAGGAAGTCCCGGCATGGGGAACTGCCTGGCGAAAGCCTCCACTTCAGCCCTGATCTCAGCCACCTCCTGCTGGAACTTCTCTTCCAAAGCCAATGCCTGGATGAAGTCCTCTACGGTGGCCTTGGAGTCCAAACTTCTCTGCACTTCCAAAGTTAGCTCAATACCTTTCAGAGAAAGCACACCAAATATTTTACTTTGCTTGTTTCTACTTGACATCTCTCTTCCAACTAATGTAAAAGAAATAAACTGATTCCAAGTTTACCTCTATGAATGAAGTCAGCCACTTTCTTGAAGTCCTCTTCTATCAAACCTCTGGAGGTCAGAGCTGGAGAACCGAACCTCAGACCACTTGGAAGCAAAGCACTCTTAGCACCTGTATGTTTTGATAGAATATATATTTGATGTAACATTGGAACATTTATTTTAAAGCTTGATCTTAAAATTGCTATGAAGAAATTAACTTTTAAAATTTGTTCCAAAAAAGATCCCTGCTAAATAAAAAAAAAAAGAAAATGTATTTTTAAGTGGTACCACTTAGCTTCTGCTAAATCATAAAGTGCCTACTAAGGACTGATGGGACCGTGATCGGGACCAGTAATCTAGTAACACCACTTAGCTGTAAGACTGCCATCAATGGATGAATGATGAACAAAATGAATCAAAACGAATCAAAAACGTGTAATAACCTAATAATGCAAATTATGGTTGCATGGGATGCTAGAAATTTCCATAGAAGAAAAATCACATCAACCCCCCCGACCCCCCCCCCCCCCCCCCCCCCCCCCCCGATTGTAAGAAACTGAATATTGCTAAAAGGGATATTTTAAAAAATGAAAAAGGGGGTCAGAAAATACAACATTTAGACTGCATAGAAGCCTGACATGATTCACACCAAACTGTTAGGGAAATGGGCAAAACTCTAGCAAGAGAAAGGAACTAGCACCTAATAAATGTGAATAACACCACCGGCTCACTCAAAGCAGTGGAGATCAGTGTATACTTATTAAGATATGTAGGCCTACTCCTTTTAATTTATTTCTTTTTTACTATTTAATCATTCATTAATATTTAACATTTCATACTGGATGATTAAACTCCAGTTGATTCAACAGCGATTTTAACCAAAGCTACAAAGTAACTAGTTAGGAACTAATATCTATACCATCACAATAGTCTCTTCTACAGTTTCTAATATGAATAATGTCTCACCATTCACTTTTGCATAAACAAAATAAATTAATTGTCTCAACACTCCATCTGCAGGATCTAATTATCTGTGATATAACATCAGCCCCTCCTGGAGGGATGGATATTTATAATTTTACATCACTCTTTCCTACAGGAACTGAAATCTAAAATGTTACACTATTTGCTTTTGTGGGAACTGATGTCAAGGATGTCACATTAGTTTTCCCTGTACAAACTAAATATCTATGCTGTCAGACCAGTCCCTTTAGCAGAAACTAAGTATGTATGATGTCAGACACAAGTCCCTTTAGCAGAAACTCAATATCCCTGACAATGTCAATGGTTGAATGACTGAATGTAGTGTAAAGTGCATCGGTCAAGTCTCCTGACTTAAAAAAGTGTGATGTAAGTACAGTATTTTTACCATAACATATCTGTCCCTGCTGCAGGAATTAAAAAACTATGTTGTGACACCAGTCACACCTCCAAGACTTTATATATATATATATATATATATATATATATATATATATATATATATATATATATATATATATATATATATATATATATATATATATATATATATATATAATGCCAAATTACTTTTTATTGTAGTAACTACTCTTTATTTATTTTTTCTACAGGACAGAGTTCTGTGATATGGTTCCTAACTGAAAGAGGAAGTGCTGTTAAATCAACACAGATATTGCACCAGCCCTTCTGCAGAAAGTACGGTACACATATGTACTGTGGGAATGATGCATATTTAATTTAACACCTGTTCTTATTTAACCTCTTAAGCCCGCAGGTCAATTTTCACAAAAGGCATACTCATACTTTATTAGGCATTCCTCAGATTTAACATTGCCTAAACTGCTAATGTTGTTATCAACTTGAAGGTGGAAGGGAAAATTTGAAAGTAAATTATTCCAGGCCTGAGTAAATAAGGTACCTTCCTTTGTTCCACATCTATAATCGTTATTAAACGCCGTGTCCCAGAAGTGAAGTCAATTCAATTTGTAAATGGGGATTTAAAAACACTGCAATTCATACAACTTAGTCCCTCAACAGGAAAAAAAAGCAGAAAAGGGGACTTGGAACAGAAAAATCATCAAGAATTACCAAAGTGAAAAAAATTAAATCCAAGATGGAAATTGTAACAAATTAAATCTGAAAAAACCTTCCTTCATTTTATGCATACAAATTATGAATTAGTCTCAAAACTGTTTTGTTGATTAGGAAGTTTTTAAAAGTTGCATTTTTCAAATGTGTTTTTTTTTTTTTTTTTTTTTTTTGCTTTGCTTTCAATAGTATTTGAACACATTTCTCCCAGCATATTATATTATTGTTACCTCCTGCTGTAATCCAGTAGCCAGCTTGGCCCAAAGATGAAATTATTTGCTTTTATTAATCAACAGTCCCACTAAACATGTAAGCTTTAAATTAATATGTGCTTTGATTGAAAGCTTTGTTTTTCAGCATAGATATGGTCAGTTGTTGACAGCATCAAGACATATCATTGGGGTTTGTTCTTGATTGATAAATTGATTAGTTTTGTATTTATTCTTAGTTACTACTTTATGTTTTGTTTTGTGAGTGTTCTAGTTAGTTAAACAGTTAGTTGGACAGAATAGTTGAATGGTAAATGGGAACTGCTGTGTTTGGTTATCTTTATATGAAAAGGATCAACTGTCTCTGACAACTAGTGCCTGAAAGTCATATTAGTTAGTTACATTAGTTGTTCTGTGAACATCAATTAGCACTTAAAATTATTATCATAGTTATAAAAGGGTAAGTAGCTGAAAACACTACCCCAGTCTGTTTTTATATCTGTTTGATGCTGATGATTTTAAGAATGAGAAATTATTAATTGTGATTTTTTTATAATTTTTATTTATAATGTCTAATAAATTTCAATAATAAAATCAAATAACTGCATAGCACAAGTTCCTCATAATTCCTCAGACCTACTGTCCCCTAACGTGTCACATCAAGAGATAAAATGGCTTAATTGATTTCCCCAAAGCTATCAGAGGAACACATTCCAATTGGTCAAGTCCATTTAAACCCTAGCCAAAGTGTCATATTCACCAGAGGTTCCCTTTGTTGTGTGTCACCTGGTTATTACATTTCTTCTTGTCCCATCCACCCAAAAGCCCAGGCCCGCCAGTTATAATGAAGGTACCTGTAGACAGAGTGCATCAAAAATAAAAAGCCCTGACTTAAGCTAAACTCTTCTATTGGTATTAACCAGGATCTTTACTCTGTTCTAACCTTTACCTACTGCAGTTTGGAACAGAATCTTATAAGCTGCAAACTAATTCAAATAATAGAATAAATAAAAAGAATAGAATAGAATAGTTGTGTGTGATGGTGAAAAGTCAAATCAAGTCACCAAGTCAAAGCCTGCAGATTCAGACAAGAGTATATAAACAAAAAGTAAGAAAAGGGACTGCATAGAGACAGACCACAAAAAAATATATACTCAAATTAAAAGATATGCGCACTTGAGTAGCATGATTTAAAGAAAAAAAAAAACATGTGCAATATGAGCATGTTCTATAGAATACATTATAATTAAATAGAAAATATTATGAATATTTGAATATATATATATATATATATATATAAGTGTTCTACAATAAGGAAAAGTAGATGCATCCACTGTGATTTTTTTTACATGAAGGTAAAAAAAAATAGAATAAGAGACAGAGAAGCATGAGAAAACAACAGCTGTATTGCAACAAGTGGAATTACTGTGCAAAAAAGACTTGTACACACTTGTTGAGTAATTAGAAGCAGCGGCAATTATTAATTCTAACAGCTGCAGGGCAGAGGGCAGATCTACGATAAGGCTTCTTTGAAGTCTTAGGATGTCATTGAAAGAGATCCTATATGATATATGTGCAGCAGCTTTGTTCGTGCTTTATGTGATGTGTGTACAAATTACTAAATGTTTCATAGATAAAAGCAACTGATAAAAACAGTCAGAATAGGGAAGTTTTAACTACGGTTGATGTGGCCAGTAGCAATCTTTAATGAGGAGTTGGGCATGCTTGAATTGTTCTCACTTTAGGGGCAAAGCAGTAGCTGAGCGGCACAGGTATTCAGGCAGAGCTGAAGAAAAACCATAATTCTTCCCTTTTAGGTACCGGAGGACCCTATTAACACCCCCCTCTTTTATCTTCACTGAAGGCAGACCGGGGGGGATGTAGGGTTATTGGCGGGGGTCTACAGGTAGAACAGAAGTAGACTGGGGGAAAAAAGAAAAATAGAAAAGGCCCCTGCTTTTTGTCAGATTTGGACAGGTGAAGGCATGCTATAGCTGTGAATAATGTTGTACTGTTGTTAGCTGACAAGATTTTTTTTTATTCTGGCAGCGTACTGTATCTTTGCATGTTTAATCTTCTTTGACAGTTTAGTCCTTGTCTGCTTGTAAGGGGTCCATTTGGCACTGTTTGTGTCTTTTAAAGCTGTGAAATTGCAGCTCAATGTCTTTTTATTTTGTATTGTGTCGTAAACATGCTTAGATTAGATAAGATGAGCTTTATTGATCTCACAGCGGAGAAATTCACTGGTCACATACACTATATTGCCAAAAGTATTTGCTCACCTGCCTTGACTCACATATGAGCTTAAGTGACATCCCGTTCCTAATCCATAGGGTTCAATATGACGTCGGTCCACCCTTTGCAGCTAGAACAGCTTCAACTCTTCTGGGAAGGCTGTCCACAAGGTTTAGGAGTGTGTTTATGGGAATTTTTGACCATTCTTCCAGAAGCGCATTTGTGAGGTCGCACACTGATGTTGGACGAGAAGGCCTGGCTCTCAGTCTCCGCTCTAATTCATCCCAAAGGTGTTCTATCGGGTTGAGGTCAGGACTCTGTGCAGGCCAGTCAAGTTCATCCACACCAGACTCTGTCATCCATGTCTTTATGGACCTTGCTTTGTGCACTGGTGCACAGTCATGTTGGAAGAGGAAGGGGCCAGCTCCAAACTGTTCCCACAAAGTTGGGAGCATGGAATTGTCCAAAATGTCTTGGTATGCTGAAGCATTCAGAGTTCCTTTCACTGGAACTAAGGGGCCAAGCCCAGCTCCTGAAAAACAACCCCACACCATAATCCCCCCTCCACCAAACTTTACACTTGGCACAATGCAGTCAGACAAGTACCGTTCTCCTGGCAACCGCCAAACCCAGACCCGTCCATCAGATTGCCAGATGGAGAAGCGCGATTCGTCACTCCAGAGAACGCGTCTCCACTGCTCTAGAGTCCAGTGGCGGCGTGCTTTACACCACCGCATCCGACGCTTTGCATTGCACTTGGTGATGTATGGCTTGGATGCAGCTGCTCGACCATGGAAACCCATTCCATGAAGCTCTCTGCGCACTGTTCTTGAGCTAATCTGAAGGCCACATGAAGTTTGGAGGTCTGTAGTGATTGACTCTGCAGAAAGTTGGCGACCTCTTCGCACTATGCGCGTCAGCATCCGCTGACCCCGCTCCGTCAGTTTACGTGGCCTACCACTTCGTGGCTGAGTTGCTGTCGTTCCCAAACACTTCCATTTTCTTATAATACAGCTGACAGTTGACTGTGGAATATTTAGGAGCGAGGAAATTTCACGACTGGATTTGTTGCACAGGTGGCATCCTATCACAGTTCCACGCTGGAATTCACTGAGCTCCTGAGAGCGACCCATTCTTTCACAAATGTTTGTAAAAACAGTCTGCATGCCTAGGTGCTTGAATTTATACACCTGTGGCCATGGAAGTGATTGGAACACCTGATTCCAATAATTTGGATGGGTGAGCAAATACTTTTGGCAATATAGTGTATTGGCATAATAATTAAAGAAGGTGCAAACAAGGAGGAAAAGGTGCATTAGGAATAAAAAGAAAAATATAATGCTGTCTGTATTATTTAAGTTTATTTGCGGTGTAAAAATAAAACTTGTGCTTTCCACCTCTTTGTGAACGTCAGTGTGGGTGTATGTGCCTCTTCTCACCTCTGTTTTGCAGGGTTCCCACAGCTCATCAGCACTATTCACAAACATAAACAGGAGAAGAATCCCTGAGGCAGATACCAGATTGTTCTGATCACAGGCATAGTAACCAGGCCTACCTTATCTTGTTTTCTTGCTTTCTTTGAATTATGACATTGCTCTCACCTTTTCATCTTTTACAAGACCTGGTTCCATGCTGAGGGCCATGTTCATGCTTACATTACCAGGTCACCCTTCACCACCAGCCACCAATCTCACTTGCTTACTAGCTTAGAACCTCATTTACTCACTTCCTTCTCATCGTCCTCCATCACTGCTAACAGTAAAAAAAACACCTACAACATATATGGGGGAGTGTTGGACTAGTGGGTTAGACCAGTGCGCTTTTGGTCTGAGAAGGTTGCGAGTACCCGGTTTGATTCCCACAGCCTGCACTCTGGGGTCCTGAGCAAGGCTCTTGTTGTGCCATGTGCCATGATCCTGGTTTTGAACATTGGGAACTAGTGTCCATGCTTGATCTTGACATGTTGACCGGAGAAGAGAATGCAGTTTTGGCTCATGGGGCAGCTGTAAGACCTTCCCCCCCTTTTCAGCCAACTTGCTCCACAGGACCCAGGAGGTGTGACTTGCCTTGGCCCCCCGCAGAGCTGAGAACAGTAAAACCACAGCACACAAGATCTCTTTCTCTTTCCATGAAGCTGCCTGGGATCTCCAGCCACTGTGGAGATCCGGACAAAAAGGTACAGATCTCCAGAATGACCAAGGATAAGTCCTGATGACTTTTCAGAACCAAACTGCTGCAAAACAGAGTTTTTGCAACACATTTCTCTTGAGTTTCAGAACTTACAGAGCCAGACTGGATGAAAAAGTCTCCTAAGGATCTCTTGGTGTGAGCCACATGGGCAAGAAAACCCCCATGTTGCTGTGAGCCTGCCTTGCTAAGCTGCTGCTGGATAATAACTCAAGCCCTCCAAATTGACATGAACAGAGGTTTGCAAGTCTGGCACAATTAGGGACAGAACAAACAATATATCGTTTGATGATTTTGATCATTTCATTTGTTTACTGATTAGTAAAGACAAAGCTAACAGGATGGACTGCATGCTATGCTACGCTACAGTAATATGTTCTAATCTGTTGTTAAGGCTTGGACAAGCTTTATTTCACTAAGCGTTTAAACACTGATACAACATTAGTGTTCATGTGTTCCTAATATTCTTAGTACGTTTCCATTACCAAGTATAACCAAGAGTCATTTAGTAGAGGGTAATGAATCATTTGACTAAAGGTTACTGCTTCTTGATTAAGTAAATCATTCAATAAAACATTATTTGGCCAAAAAAGTTTTATTCACCTCCTCAATTTGCTTTGTGAATTGGTTTGAAAACATTCCAATTTCTCTAAATTAGTAAAAAGCTAATTTGATCATATGCCAAATTCTTCCAGATAAACTTCTCAAACACAATATCCATCTTAAACTGTGATATGGTTTTCAACCATGTTTCTCCTTCCTCTTTGTACAAAGAAGTTTAGTTTAGTTGAGTTTCACTAGTTTTAGTCAAGAGTTTTTAACTGAAATATGTTTGACTCGGAGCTGAGTGATTTTTGTTAATAAACTCTTATATTTTGAAAGAATTTGTGATGAATTTATTCCATGTATGTGCAGAATTATCTGTCTAACCATCATTTGAGCTCAAATCACTCTTTAATTTATTGTTATAACACATAGCTAGTAGGGCATGTATTCATAAACAATATATAACAGCCGAAATAATATCTGATTAAATAAGATATTCATCACCCCTACTGGGAGGGCAATGAACATCTTAAAGTATCAGAACATAACATGATTTCCCAGCTGGCTGGGAATTGAATATAACAGTTATTCACAGCATTAATATTGCGTCCAACCTGGATGGGCATTGAATATAAAGTCACAACATTCTTAACCCCTGATTACTCCACACTCACCACACAATGGAAAGCCACTGGTCGCCAAGGGGATGGTCAAAATGCAGAGAACGAATTTCCCCATTGTGGGACAATAAAGGGTTTTACATTTATATCATCATTTCTAATTATGTTATTCTTGCAAAAATGATCTCCTCCTCAGAGTACCCAGAAAATCAATTCCCCTATGTATTTTCTTAATAACTTTTCACAAGTTCATGTCTTGTTTGTAGTTGTAGCTAAAAGAACATTGCTTATGAAAGGAGGGGGTCCAAATTTGTTTTTGCAAACATTGTAACATTAGATCAGATTCATTGCTTCATAAATGACCATAGGTTCCATGTCCATTATTTACAGCCACTTTTATTTGGGGTTGCATCTAAGACTGCTTTCAAGTCAAATTATTGTTTCTGCATAAGCTGCTGGAGAACTTTTTTCCTTGTTTCAGTAACCTGTTTAATTATAATATTGTTGCTTCTTGTGATTGTTAATGTAGGTGACATCTGAGGCAATACTTTCTTTGATGTCTCTCTAAAATATCACATTACATTACTGTACATTGCTCATAGTCTTACCATCCACAGCCCATGTTTGAAATAGTATATATAGTTTTTTATAATTAGGAAGAAGTTTTGTTGTTACTGTACCTAAAAAGGTGTTTGTGTTGCAGGAAATACCACAGGCTTGCAAGACCTTCTCAGCTTGTTGTCCTTTCGTTCCTTTATCACTTAAGTCCAGCTGCATTAGATGGTTGTCAGAACCACCTACAGGGGGAGCCACAGAGAGCAATAAAAGATATAGAAGACAAAAGATAAGCAAATCATTTTCTGTCTTATGCATCCTTTCTCCAAGACAGCTTTATTGAATGAATGGCTCGTTCCCAGGCCTCTGAGGAATCTGCAACTGTTCATTGATTAAATAATTTAAGCAATGTTTACATTTAACTATGTTACCTTATTATATGATGTAAAATTTGTAATCTCTCCTAATTATTATTCTTTTACTGTATCCCCCAGTTGACCTCTACTGATAAATCATAGACACACCAATAGACTTGGCTAACAGATCTGAAAGGAGGTGTTGCTTAACCGTAATATGCTTCAATCAGCCCCGGGTTCTCCAGCAGTATTTACTTGTCAAATTTAAGTGTAGACAGCTCTCTGGTTCTCTTTGAAACCTTGTAGTGGAATTTACATTAGAAATGCAATTATTAGAGGATCGCCAAGGGCTGATGGTAAAGTGTCCTCTGAGCAAAAAAGAAAAACTAAATTATTTGCTGTATTTTAGTGAGTTTATTGTTTTAATCTGCTGTGGTTATAATAGATCACCATTGGCAAATTATGCATGTAATGTCAGTTTATAGTTGAAACTTCAAGATAACTCTTGAGGAAGTTTCTGTAATGTAGGCTAACTGGTTACCTTAGCTTTCAGTTTGATCTCAAATGTACTTTTTTTTTTAAAACTTCCCTTCAAGCACAAAACAAACCTGTCTATGCATGTTTGTATAGGAGCCATGGCCTCCAGCTCCTTCAGGGAGGAAGGTTAGCAGGAGCTAAGAGATACAATGGTTACATTTTGAAATTTCCTCTCTCCTAGTTTAAGAAAAAAATTGGACAACAGCTTTAAGGTGTTTCGTTGAAGAGATACATCTAAAAGTTGCAGGATATTAACTGCTTGGGATCCTGTAATCTACAAAATCAAATAAGTAAATTTAATTATTTACAAGAGTATTCCCATGGCTGTAAAAACTCTTTCATTTTGGAGATGTATAATGAGCTAAAGATATGTGTGTGTCACCTACCAGTGACGATCGTGTAACCAAGCTCTGTAAGGGCACTGCACAGAGCTTTACAGTTAGCAAGAACCTGCAGCTGGTATGCCTTAAACTCGGGTGTCATGGCTTGTTTGAGAGCCACAGCAACACCTGTCAGTAATAAACATTACCTCAGTGACTGATTCTGCAAGAAACCTAAAGATCTTAAGATGAATATCAGAGTACCTGCAATAGCATTGCTGTGTGGTCCTCCGTTCAGCGCTGGAAACACAGCATGGTTGATCAAAAACTCCAAGTTGTACAAAGTCTCCATCCCTTCGGAATCCACACACCGAACACCTTGTGGAGAAAATGAAAAGTCCATTAAGGATCTGAAATAAGCAAAAAGTTCCCATGGCAATGAAAAAGTACCTCAAATATTGGTTTAGTCAATGTTTTGAGACTCTTTCCTACCTTTCCGATAAAAGATGAGTCCACCACGGCAGCCTCTCAGACTTTTGTGAGTTGTTGTTGTAACAAGGTCACAGTGTTCAAAAGGTGAGGGCACCACTCCGGCGGCCACTAATCCACTAATATGTGCCATGTCCCCCAACAGATATGCATTATTCTCATTAGCAATCTGCCCCAAGCGGGCATAGTCAAGGTTACGGGAATAACCGCTGGTTCCTTATAATGAAGAGCAAAATGAAAAGTGTTTATTTTGAGTGTACTACCATGACTGAGCGTGTGCACTCTGCATGTGTGTATGCATGCAATGAAGTACCTGCAATGATGAGCTTAGGCTGGAAAAGCTGTGCATTTTCTTGCAGTTTGTCATAATCGATGTAGCCAGTTTTTGGATTTACCTAGAAACAAATGAAGCAAACTGCAATTTTAAATGTATATCATTGGCGTTTCTTAGATAATATTCAATCACAGAAAATTTATGCTACATACACACCTGATTACTCTCCCCAACCAATAAATATGTATGGGGTGGGGGGGCTTGTCTAAAAAACATTTGTATTCCACATCATCTGCTAGCACCCACTTCAAGTTATTTAGGAAGTCAGGAATTTGTCTTCCTAAAGCCTTGTGGTTCAAAGTTTATCTTAAAAGTAAGCGGCCGTCGTAATTTTTTCTCTGTCTGAGCCGAATGAAGGAGTTCCTCACTGTAAACACTGTCTGATTGAAGGTTTAAACATTTTGCATGTTCCATATACTATAAAGTTGACCTTTTAAAGTCAAATGAAATCTAATTGTGTAGAAAACTAAAGTGAAATAAAAAACTAATTTTGCTTTCAACATTACTACTCAGTATTAAGCCTTAATGACTAATATGCAAACTAAATGTACTAAATGAACTTTATTGAACTCACTGCAACAATCTGTAACACAACAACTACACAGGTTACTAATATAAAGTATTCAGCTGTAAGATTTGAGAGAAAATGGAAATGTTTGTCAGAAGTGTAGTTTCTCTTAATAGATTTTTTTCCCCTCACATTTTATACAAGTAAATTGAGCTCAAAAGAGGACACTTAAATTTAGAGGTGGGCAATCCAGGTCCAGAAGGTAAAAACCCTTTTAACAGATTAGTTCCAACCGTTTGCATTTCCAGCTCTAAAAACACAGAGGCTGTCCGAACGAACGTCCACACTAATCTCTTATAAAGAGCACTATATAGTGGTTACAGCCTTTTATATGAGTGTCCGAATGTCTAGTGGACCCAAAATTTCCCACAATGCATCTTGAAAAGCAATGTGCACTGGTGACTAGATGAGCAGATATATCCCAGAATACTTTGCAAGAGCGCTCCTCACAAAGCATCAGGGGTAAGTTTTGAGGGTGAGAAAGAACAAAGATGACACAGGCACCGAGCGGGGAGCCAGAGTCACATGACCATGAGGGAGCGAGGATTAGTGATCATCTGTCAGTTAACTAAGGTCACTATAAAGTCGACTATATGCTCCTCGCTCTATATAGGGATTGAGGGGTTTAGGTGCTAAAACCTGGAATGACTGGCGACCTGTCCAGGGTGTACCCCGCCTCTCGCCCATAGACTGCCGGAGCACCGGCCCCACCATGACTCTGAAGGAATAAGCAGGAGGAGATGGAAGGGTGGGTTTAGGGTGGTTGTTTAGACATAGTTAGAATCAGAGCTAATCATCTAATTATGGGAACAGAATTGAGGACAACAAGGCAGGGTTTTTACTTTTTGTCCTGGTTCACCCACCTTCAATCAAATTCCTGGTTTGGTGTAATTCGGTTAGGTCTCTTAGACACCACATCTTTTGTCTGATTTGTCCCTGAGTTACATATCACTACACCACTGATACTAACATGTTTGAAGAAAAAGACAATCCCTCTTGCAAGACCATTAATTTATTACCAACACAATTTAAACCATTAATAATTAGGTGCCTTTTGGGACTGGCGGTTACAGAAAAAAAATTTAGAATATGAAGAAGAAGTACTATAAGTAATAAAGCCTGTTTATAAGTTAGCTATCTCTGCTCCAGCTTGTATACCAGCCAAGTACTGTATGAACCCACACAGGTACAGCACTGTATGTTTGATACATGTAGTAGTTATCCCTGAGTATCTGATTTACCATATATAAAAATTTAATGTGACTCAAACCTTGTATGGCATAGTTTCAAAAAACATGGATGTTGCAGAGATTTTCTTCTCATTCCTCGTGTAGCCATGGGATAGGTGACCCCCATCAGGAATGTCCAAGCCCATGATCCTACCATGAGGCCCAACAACAGCCGTGTAGACAGCAAAGTTAGCAGGCGAACCTTAGGTGGAAACATGGTTGAATTTAATACAAGTATAACAAAGTTGTCGGAGGCGTGTTTATCGGGGTTTCATACCTGAGTATGGCCGCACGTTCACTCCCCATTTCTCAGAGTCCAAACCAAAGGCCTCGAGTGCCCTCCTCTGACAAAGAGTCTCCAGTTCATCATTATACTCTAAACCATTGAAATAGTGGCTAAAGAGATGAAATGCATTAAACAATATGCTTGATAAAATGGCATTTATCAAAAGGTACAATCAAGCCTCCAATAACCTGAACAGGAGTTATACCTCTGGCCAGGAAACCCTTTGGAGTACTTGTTGGTCAGACAGGAGCCAAGAGCCTCGAGAACAGCTCTGCTGGTAAAGTTCTCAGCTGCTATTAACTCCAGACTATGCATCTGGTTGTGTTTCAGCTTTTTTATGATAGAGAACACCTGAAACAAAATCGCTGTCAATCTTATATATTATTTTCACAATATTTCAAATTATTAGCAGCAACATATATCTCAATTACAAAAGTAAAGACAGTTCAGTCAAATCCTTTAAAAACAGACCTCTAAGTCGCTGATATCCAGAGGCCCTGTCATCATTTTCTTGTGTGACTCCCATCCTTCTTGACTCACACTGTAGCATTTTGACTGAGATATAATTGCTGTTTTTCTGGTCACAGAGGGTAGTAACCTGTGGAACAATCCAAGAAGTAAATGAAAATCTTATAGATACACAAATCCTTTTTTTAAACCACCACTTGAACTGTCTAAAGAGAAATTGAAACTTGTTAGAGTCCTTGTGTGCATGTTAGATATGTGGCAAATATTTTTCACTTTGGTTGATCTAAATGTTTATCACATGTTCTGATAATTCCTTTGCATCACTTTTGGAAACTTTTGTTCCTCACAAAGCATCATCTGTTAACCTTTGAGAATATGGTTTATGTAGAGTACAGCATGATTAACCTTCTGGGTGACCAACTGTCCTCCCTTGTTTGGGTCCCTTATCAAATTTTTATCTAATCTGTAAGGTCAGACATGGGACATAAGGCTTTGCTTATATCTTAGGGACTGAAGAAAGTTTACTGAATGCAGAAGCAGGTGATCCAAAATCCAAATATGAAAAACAAATCCAAGCAAACAGGAAACCAGGAATCCAAAAACCAAAAATGAAAACAATAAAACAAGTCAAAACAAACCAGAAACCATGGAGACATCAGGGGGATAACAATGACAAGGAGGAAGACTCAGACAGAGTTGGAGGAAGTATGATGAGAAGTTAGACGAGGAACCAGCACAGAAGAACAGAACAGAGAGAGTATTTAAGGGAGACAGAAACAAAGGGAGGACTAATGTGCAGATTGGGAACAGGTGTGCATAGAGCAGAACAAAAAAGGAGCTACGGAAAAAGGAGAACACAAGAGGGCAGCAGAGGGCAACAAATAAAAACCTAGAAAACTGAAAATAACCAGAAAACGCAACAAAATAAGAATTAAACCATTAAGACTATAAAACATGGAGCAAAGTAAAACTGAAAACTCAAAAGAAAAACATAACAGAGCCAAGACTGAAACAGTAACTAAGAATTAACCAGAGAACACAACAAAATAAAAATTAAACCACTAAAACAAGAAAACAAGGGGTAAAGCAAAACTAAACACTCAAAGGAAAACATAACAGAACCACGACTAAGACAGTAACTGAGAAAAAAACAAAGAACACAATAAAATAAGAATTAAACCATAAAAAAATATAAAAACAAGAAGCAAAACAATTTTTTTTTACTATTTCTTTTTATGATGCACCTACAAATAAGTATCTAAATACCTTAGAAAATCAAACTTAATATTTGGTACAGTAGCCTTTCTTTGCAATTATAAAGTTAAAATGTTTCCTGTACTAAATCTAATTTACTCTAGTTTTGAAGTTTTGAAAGTGGGAGAACTTGCAAAATTGCAGGGGGTTCAAATACTTATTTTCCTCACTGTATCTAATCAAACAGACCAATATATATTGTTTTACTAACTGGTATTTTAAAGTTAAAAGTAAAATAATTATTACAAAAAGCAAACTTACTTGAAAATAAACTTATGCAGAAGAAAAACTTCTACAGATCTAGCAAAACAGTTCAATAAATAAAAAAATGTCTAAGAATGTATGTTTCTGTGCATTATAGGTTTGAATGAGCCTGCTTCTTCTTCAGGGAATCAAAGCTCAAAAGCAGAACGTATGGTGTAGTGAAACCATTCCTAAAAGGACATTTTACTAGTTACTTATTTACTAGTTTACTAGTCACTCAAGTAAATGTATTTTAGTAAATATAACCATTTAGCCTCCTCTGATTTATGTGTCCTTGTACTTCCTGTACTACTGATGGTTGTAAGAAGTGTGTTGGCACCGGTGTACAACGGCCTCACTTCTTACAGTATGCAGCTGTGGCTACTGTGTATTTTGCCACTTTGAATTTATGTGCGAATGGATGAATGACTTAACGTAGCATAAAGTGCTGTGGATTCCCCTGACTGGAAAAAATCACTATAGAAGTGCAGTGCATTAACCATTCATACAACCAGTCATACAGTCCTTCACACTAAAGCACAGACATTAACCTGAAAAGGAAACAAAAATCTAAAGTAGTGATAGAATAGGATAAAGATATAGATGCGTTTAAAAAAGGATATTATTTTGAACCGTGTGCCTCCCTTTTCTTATAAAGGTGTTGGACTATGTCCAATATTTCCTTTGCATCCAAAATATTTTCCTTGGTTTTGACCATCTGTGGTATGCTAGTTTATTTTTGCATATTTCATGTTAATGATCAGTATGATCAATAGTACTGAGCTTTTTAATACCCCACCTCTATCTCCCCAACCCTGAAAATATCTCAGGCTTTCTGTGTAAGGTTAGCATGTTTGTGGGATCTATCCAGGTAGTTGCTTCAGCTTGATCCATTTTACATTAAATAGGCCTTCTTAAATCAAAAAACTCTTGTCACAATTTTATATCTTAAGCTTTTTTTTTTTCATTTCAAGCTATATCTCTAACAGATTCTTAACCTAATAGTAAAAATATTATTATAGAAATACATCATACCATACCAGGAGCAAATGTAGATTTAGAACTATTTACTTAAATATATTTATAATTCAAAAAAATGTATTTTTTAATTTTCACATTACTAATATATGTAATACTAAATGCGATTTTGTCCTTTCCTAAATAACTAAAATAGATAAAAAATGTAGTTACAACAATGGAACCGTTCAAATTTTTTTTTTAAATGAATAAAAATACACTTACACTAGAAAGTTAATAACAGTAAACCTAAACCTAAAATATTGTAAAAATCTGAGAAAAATAAAGGTAAATCTGTTATAAATTAATATTCAACAATAAAACAGAATTATTATTAAACATTATTAAATTTATTATTATTTAAATTTAAAGTACTGCAAAATACACACACACACACACACACACACACACATATATATATATATATATATATATATATTTTTTTTTTTTTTCTTTTATGAATTTAATTGAACTTTATTGATCTGAGTAGTAATTCACCTACCTCTGCTATTGACCCATCCCCTTGGGGAGCAGTGGGCTGCCATTGTGCGGTGCCTGGTGAGCAGTGTGGGGTTAAGGGTCTTGCTCAGGGACCCAGAGCAAAATTCATGGTTCATCTATGTTTCTTTGAGGTTAGAAGGCATCCTTGCCATCACTCCAATTTTTAGAGTTTATCCACAGACTTACCTGTTAGATTCACTTCGGTACCTTGGTGGTATTAATATTTCCACTCAGAAGAACATGAAGGTAAAAGAGTTGATATTTTCAATTCCTCAACATATGGAAATATATTGCTTTAGAACTTTTTTTTTCCATCTAATTTTAATGTAGAAATCAAAAATAAGAACTGCAATTTTTGTAGAAATTATTTAGCAGTATTAAGTTAAATAAGATGCTGTTTCAAAATTTTTGCTTTACTCAAAAACTACTACCGTACATAGAGCATGCTTTAAAATTAGAATATGGTGACAACATCTACATTGCATTACACAGAACTGCAGGTGTTGTTAGCAGACCTCATTCTGAGGATGAAGGGCCACATCTCCACGTGTGCTGCAAAAAACAGAAAGAAAAACAACTTCAAAAAATGTCCCACACCTGATGACTAACCTGCGTCTGTTTATAGGTGAGAATTTTGCTCATGTCAGTAGTTCAGAGCCCTCGTGGTTAACCTCTCTGTAACATCCAATCAAAAGACCCAAATGGCGACAAATATATTAATTTAAAAACCTGAAACCACACATACACTATTTAGGTAGGGCAAATAAAACAAAAGCGAGTCATTGCAGATCCAAAACACAGGTCTCCTTTTAAGTAGAAAGTAATAAAACATGACTGTTAAAAGTTAAATACTTTCAGCCTTTCCTAACATATTCTGTTTTCCAATTACAATATGTACAAATGTTGCTGTTTTTAACTAATATGTCCCTAACTTTATCAACCATCTGTGCAGGGAGCCAAATGTAAGATAACATTCCTGAATTGAGCTCATGTGACAAAAAAAAAAAAAAAAAAACATCATAAAGGTCTGCCCAATGTTGTAATACCTAGCATTAAAAAAAGTATGTGTATGTGGGAGTTTTTTGGTTGTTTTTTTCTCTTTAGAGCTGCATGAAATATGTCCTAGAAAAAAAAATCGAAACTTTTTCTTTGTTAAGTAACTTCAGCAAAAACAATTTTTTAACGTCTTACAAATAACAGGAAAGCTGCTCTTGAATTGTTGATTTAGTTTTTTTTCCCCAATTAGGATTTACATAATTTTTTTTAGAATATATTAAAATCAATGTTTATAAACTGGTCAACTTTAACTGCCTTGTCAGACTTCTATTCTATGTATGCATGTATGTATATATATATATATATATATATATATATATATATATATATATATATATATATATATATATATATATATATATATATATATATATATATATATATATATATACCCTTTTAAAGCTGCAGGTGTAGCCTACCTTTAGTCCGTTTCCAGTCCACTGTCTCCTGGGCTGACAAATCAAGCGACTGTGGCAGAGACTTGCTGCGTTTCTTTTTTAAAAGGTCTCGCCCTACACGTAACGTTTGGGTGCCAAGCTGTTTCGTCATTTCTGTAGTGAAAATATGACATAGGTGGAATGCAAAATAAAATACTTCTCAAGCTGAAACCTGAAAACATCATCCTACCACCAGGAGTGTGTGGAAAAGCTTGCATCACTTTCATGGTTCAATGATCGAAAAGTACCCAAAATTAATATCTAATTGGATTAGACAAATTAAATTTGAACAATTAAGTTGTAACTGCCTGTTAAATAAACCATTTCAAGCTGATTAAACGGAGTGCATTTTTCAGAATTAGTAGTAGTATCTTTTGTTATTTCTAATTAAGTGGAAGCTGTTGCATGTTGCCCTTCATCACCGGTCATGTTCATAACTTTTATGGATAGGATTTCTGGCCACAGCCAAAGGCCAGAGTGGGTTTGGTTCAGGGACCAGCAGATGCTTTTTGCAGATGATTGGGTTCTGCTGGCTCCCTCCTACCAAGACCTACAGTACACAGCAGGGGTTATCAACCTTTTTAAGGCAGAGGGCACTTCATGGGTACTGAGTCATAGGGAAGGCTACCAATACTGACCTATGAACTGGAGGAATCAGCGTTCGCCTTAACTACATCCATTATAAGCATATTTTTATTGTTTCTTTTAACTTCTAATTTTCTTTATGATGTCTTCATTTTGAAATCTCAATTAATACTTAAATGATCTGTATGATTAAAATGATAAAATGCTCTATAAATTATAAAAAATAAATAAATTACAGTTTTGTTTTTTTCAGAAGATGCTGTGGGCATCCCATGTGGCCCCTGAGGGCCCCTTGGTGCCCGTGGGCACCACGTTGGTGACCTAGCATTCACTGGGGCAGTGCACAGCCAAGTGTAAAAAAACTGGGATGAAAATCAGCTCCTCCAAGTCCAAGGTTTCTTTGCAGAAAAATGGTCATGAAAATAATGTCTCTTCATTCACAAATAAAAATCAGTGTTTAATTTCCATGCTGATTGGATCCAGCTGGTGCTGATTAAGCTACAAGTGGGTAACGCTCTCCAAGTGGTAACAAGCCTTGGTGCTGCCTGAGAGTTCTGTTCAGTCCAATCCTGCCCTGACCTTCTTTTCTTGTCCTCCACAATTCCTGATTTCCTGCTTTTCCTAAGGATGGTTGCTAACCTCTGGTTGTCACGTTAAGTTCCGTCTCCTGATCATGTCTGCATGATGCCTGCGTTTCTGCCTCGGGATTGCTTCTCCTGCATTCTCACCTGCACGTCCCACTAGACTTGTCAGCGTCGCTCCTCCTCAGCCAGAACCCTCCACTGCCTGAGACCAGATCCAGTGTCGCTGATCATATCTCATCTGTTTGGAAATAAATCTTTTATAAAACATCTCTGGTTGTAGCATCGCTGTATTCTGTATCAGAGAAGTTTTCCAAAAACATAACATTCAGATGTTAATGTAACTTTATGGAATATGTTTATTATATATCATAGTTTTGGGCTTTTTTTAAATTGTTCCATTTACTTATGTCTGTTAGTTTTCTCTTATATTATTAATGTTGTATTGCATTATACTTTTTCAATTTTATTGAGATTATAGTGTGAATGTATTAATGTTTTTCAAGGATATGTGTTGTCAGCCTTCTACTGCAGAACCTGATCTAAGGAGGGATCATTCAGATTGGAGGGAACACATCAGAATAGCCCAAGGCAGGGGTGTCAAACTGGTTCCAGAAAGGGCTGTGTGGCTGCAGGTTTTCTTTCCAACCAAGCAATATCACACCAGACTCCAGTCAACTTATCAAGTGAGTCCAGTCTTAACATGATGACTTGATTAGATAACTGGAGTCTGGTGTGCTATTGCTTGGTTGGAAAGAAACCCTGCAGCCACATGGCCCTTTCTGGCACCAATTTGACACGCTCTGTATGATACCCCTGGCCTAAGGGACTATGTAAGAGGAAAGAATTAGACAGCGTATCAATTATGCCTTTTAGTTATATTATTTTGAATATATTAATATTATGACCTTGTGGGAATGCCTTAGTAACAATCTCCTATTTAGGGCCAACTGGCTAGCTGCCATCTGGTCTGACTCAAATGTTGGCAATGAGAGTCCTCTAACTAAAGATCGGGTTGGAGTACTTCGAGAGAACAGGACATCCTAACTCTTAAGGCAGTACATGTTGAAATTTGCATATGTCAGCGGGAAGTTTCGAGTTTCAGTTGACAGGTATGAATTAGGAGATACCACACGCCCCAAATGAGCAAATGAATAAAAAAAACAAGAAAAAAAAAAACACAGCTCAAAATAGATAGAAAAAGGTTGAGCAATCTGCCATGAACCTTTGGGCTTTACAGAGTTAATAATATATACGTATTTTAAAATTAGCATATTCCCATTCTCTAGCTTTTTCTGTGCCTCTAGCTTCTGTTTCGAACATACGGCTTTACGATCAACCAGAAGCAGTTCCACGCAAACACGTGGAACCAGTTAAATCTGATATATTTGACTATTTTTTTATGTATTTTTTTATAAAGCATTTTAAATGCCAGGATAATCACAATTAATGAATTTTAATGCCAATTAATGCCTTAATTTAAAAAAAATAATTTAATGATTTTTAATGACCCGCAGAAACCCTGAAGATTTTACAAATCAACATGCCTAAAGTTGGACTTGGTTTTAATTTACCTTAAAACAATTAGGTCACCTTAGCATTTCTTGTTCATCTCAGCAAAATAGCCAATTTGAATAGAGAGTTTGTTTGACATCAATATTAACGTTTCCTGTGAATTCTCAAATAAAAACTAAATAAAAACTGTAGGCTATGGCTATCTAGCGTTGTTGGCGGCAATTTTATAGCTTTGAAGTTGCTTTAAATTTACAGCCAGATAATTCAGAAGAATAAAAAAACATCACATATGCACAGAAAATCTTTAATTTCGTTTAAATTAACAGAATCACGTCTGAATCACAGTTTGGGTATCAATCTGATAGAGTCTGTTGGAAAACTCCACAGAAATGGAAACTTATTACAACATTGACATAATGAATTTAAGTGTAGCATTAAAACATTTCAGTTTAAAACAGTAAAGCATTGTAACAATAGCGAATAACCTTTTTCCCCGTTGAGAAAAAGTGCTCCAAGGGAAATGTTACTTTCACAGGAATGTATTGAAGTCACAATGACGTGACTGTATAAGCACAGGAGGGTGGATCACTGCTCTCTACAGCTCAGGAAGGCCCGGCATGGGGAACTGCCCGGCGAACGCCTCCACCTCAGCCCTGATCTCAGCCGCCCGCTGCTGGAACTTCTCCCCCTGAGCCAACGCCTGGATGAACTCCTTCAGGGTGGCCTTTGGATCCAAACTTCTCTGAACCTCCAAAGTTAGCTCAATACCTTCCAATGAAACATCACATTTTTAATCGAAAAATATTTCTTCTAACAGACTTTTCTGTTTGCTGGTAAATAATCTCTTTGCTCACATTACCTCTATGAATGAAGTGAGCCACCTTCTTCAAGTCCTCCTCTATCATCCCTCTGGATGTCAGAGCTGGAGAGCCGAACCTCAGACCACTGGGACGTAAAGCGCTCTTATCGCCTTAGAAGGACAGAAATGCAAAGTGATTAACGAACGATTCTTTAACTAACCAGAAGTTAAAATTTCACTACAACCTGCTCTTACCTGGGCAGGTGTTCTTATTGCAAGCAATGGCACACGCCTCCAAGACCTTCTCGGCTCTTCCTCCGTCCGTTCCTTTGCTGCGCAGGTCCAGCAGGATTAAATGGTTGTCAGAACCACCTGCAGATGGGATCAGAGGAGAGCACAGATCTTTGTTGTATTACAAAAATAAAGATTTGCAGGTCAGTTAGGTTAATGCAAGCA